CTAGCCCTCCCCTTTTAAAAAAAACTATCTAAATATACAAAGCAAAACTATAGAAATCTCAATTCCCAAGAAATTCTGGGAAATCTGCCACCAGAAAAAAGTCTGTAATCATTTTCCTGTTAAGCACAAATTTAAAATAAGGTCTGCATCTTCTTTAATTCTGTTCATTTAACCAAGAGTAACTCAAAGTTCACCAGGACAGTAGTTCCAAAGATAATAAAAAGGCCCGTATTTCAGATACTTAACAGGGCATCATCAAAAGAGCAAATGCACTAAACTGCTTTTTCCCAGGATAGTGAGTTTTGCCTTGAGGCATCCCAACTCATTTGCTAGGGCTCCCTTTTACTCATCAGAAAATATTTCTTGGGCTAGGGATTTAGCTCAATGGTTCTGCCACCTGCCTTGCAACCACAAGGACCCGAGTTTGATCCCTGGTACCAAAAAAAAAAAAAAGAAAGAAAGAAAGAAAAAAGAAAATATTTCTGCATTCAAATGCTACCAGTGGAAAAGAATTTGTACCAAATAATCAAGTGCCTCAGGCCACACTTTTGTTCTGTTCCAAAGGAAAAATGTAGGGAGCCAGTGTTGTGTCAACATCCACACAGAATCAACCAACTAGATAGGAACAAGCAAATCAGAGTCAAAAGTTAAATTGTTTTTGCGCAGAAAAAGTTGTGCCTTAAATGGTATCTGGCACAGAAGGTCAGTAAGTGACACAGATAAAACAAGGGGTTTTGGCTGAGAACACAAACGCACACCACCATGTCCTCATTCCCCAGTTCTTGGGGAGACACAAAGACCTTGGTGTAAAGATTTAAGAAAAGCTCTTTGCCATATCTCTTGCAAGAATGAAGACCATTCGCAGCAATCAGACTGTCGGCATTCCGAAGCATGTGGGCATCACTCTGAAGGGACGCCAGAGTTACTGTGAAGGGCCCCAGAGGAACCCTGAGGAGGGACTTCAACAGCATTAATGCAGAACTCAGTCTCCTTGGAAAGAAAAAGAGGAGGCTCTGGGGTGACAAATGGTAGGGAAACAGAAAGGAACTGGCTACTGTTCCCACAATCTGTAGTCACATACAGAACATGATCAAGGATGTTACACTGGGCTTCCGTTACAAGATGAGGTCTGTGTGTGCTCACTTCCCCAACAACGTCGTTCTTCAGGAGAAGGGGTCTCTTGTTGAAATCCGTAATTTCTTGGGTGAAAAATACATCCGGCAGGTTCGTGTGAGGGCAGGTGTTGCTTGCTCAGTATCTCAAGCCCAGAAAGATGAACTAATCCTTGAAGGAAATGACATTGAGCTTGTTTCAAATTCAGCTGCTTTTGATTCAGCAAGCAACCACAGTCAAAAACAAAGATATCATGGGGCTGGAGATTTAGCTCAGTGGTTCTGCCACCTGCCTCGCAAGCGCAAGGACCGGAGTTCAATCTCCGGTACCCCCCCTAAAAAAACCCAAAAAACAAAGATATCAGAAAATTTTTGGATGGCATCTATGTTTTTGAAAAGGGAACAAACAGTTCAGCAGCCTGATCCATAAGATCCAAGAGTTACCCAGCTACAGAAATGAGCTTCTGGATTGGAAGATAAATTTGTGATATTTTAATGATGGCAATAAAAGATCTCTACTGATTTGAAGAAAAAAAAAGATTAAAAAAAAAGTGGAGCATGCCTGTAATTCCAACACTTGGGAGGCTAAGGCAAGACTTCAAAGCCAGACTGGGCTACACAGTGAGCTCAAGCCCAGCCTGAACTACACAGCGAGAACCTATCTCAAAAATAAATAAATAAATAAATAAATAAATAAAGCCAGAAAGATTAAATAGTTTATTCATTATTATACTGCCTATTAATAACATCAGAAGCACAGCTCAAGTTCAAATGGAGTTAGTAGGCTGACACTGGGGGTAGAATGGCACCTTGTTGAGCCCTTGTCAGGCTGTAGGATACATGCAAGGACTCAGCCTCTGAAGCCACATTTGAATTGGCAGCAAGCGTTGACTAGCTGTGTGACTCAGCCTCAGTGGCTTCACTTGTGACATAGAAGGGGAAATGTATCAGAACATCTGGCTGAAGTTTGAAAAGTAACTAAAATAAAAAACTACCTAGCAGAGAGTGTCATATAGTAAATGTAAACATGTCCACTTCTGCTTACTTTAATAAAATGGAAAATAGAATCTTTACCTTTGCTTTCTTGAGACAATATTTTCTCTTCTCTTTTTTAACAACTCACATCTCATGGATATATGTATAGATATACAGATGCAGATGTACACAGATACAGATATATACACACCACTAAGCAACATTATCACAATGAAGCAAAGAACTCAGAATTGAACCTAAAAAATCAAAATCTGATTAAGGCATAACAGAGCATATTTTTACATGACTTGCATTTTTGATAACCACCTGATTAAGCAGAAAAACGAAAGCATATTAACTGACCTCTCAACCTGAAAGCAATCTCCTGGCAGGAAGAGCAAACAGCATCAGTGTCACACATTCTAACCACCAGGGGGCAGTGTTGTCTAACTATTAACAACTCAATGGCAACAAGAATAAAACAGCACTTTCTCAGTATTTCTAAACAAATGTATTGTTTGAAAGAAAACCTAGAAATCTTCCATTACATATTTGTAATTAGGTTATGATGGCATCATGGTCCACTTCTCCAAAATCATTTGTGCCTGTGAATTTCCTATACTTTTAGCTCTAAGATTAACCTAAAGGGAATGAAAATGCTCAGCATGTTCAGTTACTGCACAACCTGACCAAGACCACATCAGCCCCAACCAGAAACCTCATCCTCCCTGGAACCCTGATGCTAAAGTTCAAGAAAGATGGTGATCAGTGACAGCTGGGGCTCTAATGCTTCACCACAAATTTGAAACCATTTCATGATGATCCCTGCACTAAATATCTCCAAACTATCCCCATAAAATACACTCAATTAGCAGTAAATATGCCTAGAATTTTAGCTTGCCAGGTAACTCTCCTTTCACAATGACAAACACCGGAAGTGGGCACCATAGCATACAGACTGCACTCCTAGTGTTACTTAGGAAAACAGCAACCTTCTCCCCTGTGTGATGTTAACAGATAGCATGTTTTTTAAAAATTGTAGCTTAACCTAAACCACTTAACCTAAACAAATGTACTACAGACTTAAATGGAGTACTGGAAACTGTAAAACTACTAGAAGAAAACATAAGGGCAAAGTTTATTGACATTGACGTGGACAATGAGTTTTTTACATGACACCAAAAACATCGGCACAAAAAGGGAAACAGACAAACAGGTCTGTGTCAAACTAAAAAGCTTGTGCAGAGCAAGGGAAATTTTTCAGAATTGAATGCACCTTGTACACTGCTGCTAGGAATGTAAATTAGTATAGCCCTTACTGACAACAGTATGAAGGTTCCTAAAAAACTAAAAATAGAACTATCAGATTATCCAAAATCCCGCTCTGAGTACACAGCCAAAGAAACAAAATCAGTATGTTGATGAAATATCTGCACCTCCATGATTTTTATAGCATTATTCACAGCAGAAAAATATATGAATACACCTAAGTGTCTATGGATAGATGAATGGCTCAACAGGTAAAGAAAATGTGCACAAAGCAAAAACTACTCTCACCGCCTTTCCCTTGTTTTCTCTTGACATCCAGTCAATTATGAATCTCAGCACCATAAAATATCTGTACTATTTTTCTCTTCTCTATCTCCACCCCTCAATTCAGGTCTTCATCATGCGTCCCTTGTACTCCCTACAGTGCTCTCTGGTAGAGATCCAGGTGATTCACCCCATTATGCATTTGTCCTTCTCGAATTTCAACCCAGGCATGCGGCCATCCAGAAAAAAAGATCACATTTCCAGGTTCCCGATGCAGCTAACTGCAGCCATGGCACCACATATGGACAATGAACGTAACCGGAAGTGTTCTGCAGCAGTTCTCCAAAATAACTTTAAATTGAAGTCACTGCATGTCCCTTTGCCCCTCTAATGCTCCTCTTCCTCCTTCCTGCTCTCAAGATGGTGACTAGAACTCAAGCAACCACATCAGAAGATGAGAAATCCCAAGGGACGACAGACCAGCTAGCCCAAAGGACCAGGACCATCCAACACTGTGGAGCCAACATACAAGCTGTGAATTATCTGTCTAGATTTCTTTTATGGGAGAGAAACATGATTATTTTGATGAAGTGGAGGAGAGGCCCAGGTGCATGTGCATGGCTTCCTAACAAGCAGCCTCACCTGTCCATCACCATAATCCATCCCCACATTGCATTCACACTGACTTCCTAAATCCCAGTGTGAATAATCCATCTACTATTTTAAGATAAAATTTGGCATGCCTTAGCATGGCACGTAAGACCATTGATAATCTGGCCCTTGCCTACTGAACTTTGTCTCATTATTCCCAGTTGACACCAGCTGCCCTGAACAACCCTGGTTTGCCCAGCACTACAGCTTTATATGTGCTTGTTCTGCATGCTCAAAATACCTTTCTTCCCAGCACCCACTCAACTTCACTTCAAAGACTCGGCTCAGATAGCTCGCTCTTCCAGGAAACCTTCCCTCCAGTCTAAGATTTACCTTCAATAACCTCCCAAAGCCCCTAGTTCTCACGTCTACTACAGCAGAAGTCATGCTGTATTAGAGTCATGCTATTTGTCTGTTTCCCTGACCTGACTCCATAGTCAGAATGGAGGCTTCCTGTCTCCACAGCTTAGCAACCAAAGGTAGCTATTCCCTGCATGTTGAAAAAGTAGATGCCCTTGAGAGCACCTTCACTTGTCTAGAAGGATGTTTCTGGCATTTGACACCTGACAAAAATGAAAACACAGGCCTCCTGTCACTTTGCCCAAGGCCTACTTCTAGCACATCACCATTTCCTCAACTGTGTTACAATAACATCCACTTAGGGAATGTTGTGAATGTTCATGACGTACGGTTTTCCAGCAGTGTCTCAGAGCTTTCAGTTCCACTAACCTGTCAGACTCCCTCCAGCCTCCAAGCCTCCAAGCTTTCCCCTCGGGCTCCTTTTTCCTGGAAGATATTTTACTTGGCTCTGCCCCTTTGTCTGGTTCCCACCATTCCCACCGTGGGCCTCCAGCATGCTGTGAAAGCTCTGTACTGTAGGGAACAGAGAAAGGGGACGTTACTAGAACCTCTGCGGCAAGTCCTAGTCTCCTGCGAGCCATGACAGCACGAGGCGCATTAATTTATTAGGCTGAAAAGAGAGAAAAATGAGACTTAGAGCAGAAGCTAACCTTTGGACCTAATCAAGGCTGCTCTGGAAGGCAAAGACGAAAGACCTCAAGCTTGCCACACCTTTATTCCGTACACCGGGAATAACAAATGTAACAGATGACTCAGAGGGCAGCGGCAGGGAAAATCCCAGAACCTGGAGGAATTATGCAGATGAAGATTTTGTTCCTCCCCAGGATGTCTTCAGCTGGTGTACTCCTGCCCTGCAGCAGCACAGCATCACCAGACCATTGAGGTTTGTTTTTTTTTTTTTTGGTACCGGGGATTGAACTCAGGTCGAAACCACTGAACTAAATCCCCGGCCCTTACCACTGAGGTTTTAGGTGTGACCAGAGGTGTGGAGAACACCTTGGAATAACATGGAATTGTATAACCCTAAGTGTGCTGTAACCCTAAAGTGTGCTGTGACTTTAAGAGTGCTGTAATCTAAGTATAATACAATCATAAGAGTGATGTGTAACCATAAGATATGAAAGTAGAACCTTAAGTGGTATGCAACTGATAAGGGTGTAGCCCGAACTGGACAGGGCATACCCCCGAACTGGACAGGGCGTACCCCGAATTGGGCAGAGTATGCCCCCAGCTGGACAATGTGATAGGTCTGAACCAATACCACAAAAGCCCAGCTAGAATAGTATAAAAGGAGCTGAAGACCCCAAGCAAGTCGACGATCCATCCCACCGACCAGTCGACCAGTCAATTTGATGATCTGACTACCGACGGAGACATCTGCACACCTGATCCCGCTGGGAGGAGCATCGCCGCTGACCAGGACCTACGAGACCAGAGGACGAGGCAAGCGGAGAGGCGGATAGCCTAGCGCCGACTCGACGCTCTTCGTCTACAGATCGGACCCTCTGACCCTGCGGGAGGAAACGTCGCGCTCCCATTAAGGACTTGCGCAGTACAGGTACAGGGACGTGGTAATCGGCAGACTTAATACTGTGTGGTAATTGTATTGAAATGAATTAGGATAATATAAGATAAGTGTGTGAATTGCCATCGTAGTCCGAGTCCTCTTTACCCTCGGTACCTGCTCGCGACAAGAGGTGAAGATGGACTTAAAGGACAACTAGGCCCTAATCGTGATTTAATTGTGAAATGATTTTTCCCCAAAATCACGTAGAGTTGCTCGCGACACTGTACCACTGAGCTACAACCCACCCCCCCAGCCCTCCTCAATGCTTTTAAAACTGCACTTAAATGTGTCTGAAGATTACCCTCAAACTCACAGTCTCTAGGATTTCTTTAATTCTTCTTTCTGAAAATAGAGGTTTTGCCTCTTAATTTTTTTTAGCAACCATCTCTTTCTTCACGATTTTCAAAGAATACACAGAGTGGCTCTATAATTTATCTGCAGATGTACTAGGCTTCGGAGAACATAATTCCTCAGAGTTGAAACTAGAGCATAACAAGCCGGGTGTGCGCTTCTTGAGCTTGGGCTCTGGGTTCTCTCAGCAGTGTTTGTTCTACAGTTTCCAACACAAGGACTGCACTCCTCAACAGAGAGAAGCCAACCGCCCAACTGTGCAGGCGCTTGATGTCTCCACTTTATCTCAGAAATCTCTACCACTACCTCTCTCATGCCCTTAGAATGGAGGCCCACATTCGCTTGTTCTACCTCCTCAGATGTCACAGAGTTACTGCACCTTCCCCTCTGAGGACTGTTCAGAATGCCACCCAAGAACTTCCTGGACCTGCAGCATCTGAAGCGCTCATTCAAGTACTAGATTTCTGGGTCCCACACCAAAATCGGAGTTACTGGAGACTTTCAAGAACCTGAATTTTTAACAGGCGTGACAAGCATCCAAGGCGTGAGGAGATCCTCTGCTTGCCAGGTAGGGCAGAGCAGGAGCAGGGCAGCCAGAATCCCCAAGAACTGCCACCTGCAGCCTGAAGCAGCTGTCTCATTCACTCCAGGGCACAATATGAAGAGTATCATTTTCCAGGTGTGCTGTGAAGGAAAAAGGTTAGAAGAGCTGCTAGAATTCCCTAGAGAACTAAACTGATATTTCTTAGGAGGTACACAATGACCATTTTGAAAGCTAGTCAATCTCACGTACATTCCTAGTTAGGAACTGTGGTTTTTAAACAGCAATTCTCTTGATCCCCCTGCCATCTGATAAAGGTTTTTCTCCCTACTTCCAGAGATGGAGGGAGGGGAAAAAGGGAAAAGGAGGGAAAGGGGATGAAAACAGAGTAGATTGTTACGTCCATGTACCAACTCCCCACAAAGAATGTAATCACTATGTAATGCAAACATGTACTAATAAAAGATGAAAACTAAAAAAATTAAAATCTATTACAGTAAAAGAAGTAAAGCAATTCTCAACATTTTAAGAGCAAAAATGTCTTTTCTATAACAAATATTTTGCAATGGTCCTTTATTATCCTGATATAAAATTCATAAACTAACTGCCTAAATGGAAAGTTAGAAACAATACAATGTCCTAAATATAATACAAAGGAAAAAGAAAATTGAAATAAGTTTTATTATATACTCAAGTTAGTTAGATACTTGATTGTATGTAAAAGTAGAATTACCCTGAAATCAAGACTGGAGTGAAGACTGATACAGATGTGTTGAGTTGGTAACTCAACAGCAGGCATACTCCCTTCTAGGATTTGATATTTTGAAAGGATGGAAATTTTTCAGTGAATTTCCAAAGCCAAAAACACAAAGTATAATCTTCCCTTGATATGGTAATTACAGTCCTAGAAAACTCACTGATATTTAAACTCATGTCCAAGAATGTGTTTATATAGTATATCTTAAGCTCAAATAATTAGAAACATATTTTTCCAAACCCACATGAATGTTCAACAGCACATGTGAAGTCACACGGCATGTGGAACGACATGTCGGACGATTCCTCACAGCGCAGTCCTATCCCATTCACTATGGTGACTGGCATCCCTGGCCCCTCCAGATGAAAGCTGGACAGGCCAGATGCAGGTATGTGTGTCCTGAAGCCTGAACACTTGAAGGGGGAGGGAAGCTCTTCAAGAAAAAGAGACAAACTGACAGGCCCCTCAGAGCCCCTGATATCTCTTGCTCTGGCTGCATGGTAAATCCGCTCTCCATGGGACTCTGTTGCAAAGTGTGACATTGTGAGAATCACACAGGAAAACAAAAGCAAATTGTAAACTCACACACTGTGACTTTAAAGCAGAGGCTATTTGGCCAAATGCCTACAGGTTTCAGGAAGAAAGACCCAAGGGTACAGCAGCGAGGTAGGAGGCCGAACAGGAATGGTGGCTGAGCACCCTCTCAAGAAAGCACCACCTGCTACTTAGCACCAGTGATAACGCACACTCAGTGTCACCCAGTCGCAGACTTACACAGCAGTGCGACATTTGGATTTGTACACAAAACCTCCCAATATTTACAAGTATGTTCAAAGTTTTAATCAAACACTGAGTGAACCAAATAAAGCATGAGTGAAAGATGCCAGCGTGTCAACTCTGCTTTACAAATAAAAAAAGGTATCTCCTAGCTAAACAAACAAACAAAACCTTAAAGGTTAGTTTATAGAATGAACAGTGCAAGGAGACATTGCTAAAAGTACACTTTGCAAAGCAGTTAATACTCCTAAAAATAAAAAGGTTTTGTTCAGTGATTGTGTGACATATACAGCACCCAGATGACTTAATGACTCTAAGTCATCAAAAAAACAAGCCTTTCAAATCACTCAAGCAGGAAAGGCCTTTAAAATAAATCATAAATGGCTAATAAGTATACACAAAAAGTCTGACCTCAATTACATCTGGCACAGCAAATTTCTGGAGAGAAAAGCTCTCAGTTCCATCTGGCACAACATGCAAGTGCTGTTCCAAAGTTAATCCATTCCCTTCTTAAACAGTCAAATCCTGCTCCTCAGCCTCCCTACACTGTTACTCAAATGACCTCAAACTCCTGAGTTCAAGCAATTCTCCTGCTGCAGCCTCCCCAGTAGCAGGACTACAGGTGCATGCTATTGTCTCAGACTCCTCAGCTTTTCAATAACTGTTAAAAATATATAGCTCAGTAGTGGAATACTTGCTTAGCAGGTATGAGGCCCGAGGTTCAACTGCCAAGCACAACAAAAATAAATACAATAATAAAAAATTACTAGCCTGAAAGAAATGGGACATCTCAGGCAAAATAAAAATAACAGAAAGGCTGGGGATTTAGCTCAGTGGCACCACACCTGTCTAGCAAGTGCAAGGTCCAGAGTTCGATCCCAGGTATCGAAAAAAAAAAAAGACTAAGTAGGCAGCAGGACTAAGCTTTTCACCACACCCTCCAGATCAACTTCTGCAACACTGCTTAGTTATCACAGTAGAGGAAACATAAAGCAGTTCCAATCAGGTAAATGAGGCTACAAAAGTGCACAACACATTCTGCCGATGTGTGGGCCGATGTGGGATCAGATGGAAGCACTGGCTTTTTAGAGCAAACACCCTAGCCAAAGTTTACAATCACTTACTGGCCCTCTCTGCCAAGCCAAAACCACTAAAGACTACTGCTATCAAGCAAGGCCTGTGGTACAGTTCAAATAATGGTAACATCTGGTCAGCTTAAGAAGGGCCATGGAATAGTGAACAACTCTAACACATAATTATATATCATATTACTACAAAATCAGTTTTCTGTTTTCCATAACGTAAATGGGAAGGAAAGAGTCTGGAGACTAGAAAGGAAGGAACAAACCAAATGAGATGAGCTGGAGATAGAAGATTTACTAAAGGACCAGCCATAAAACTAGAAACCAACTTGCACCTGTGGTGCCAGCAAGAAAATCAGTCAACAGAAGACCTTAGACTTATTGACTTTATTGTTTGTTCCACTGTGTATCTGTGGTTTTCTATGCCAGTTCTCGTTT